GTTGTCACGTACAAAATATGTCAAATGCTTCAGATAAGCTGTTATCGACTAGTGCTTCAACTGAACTTCATCATGACTGTGGACTTACTGTACGATCAAGAGGAAAGTGATTTTGTCCTGCAATGTCAAACAAAAATGCGGGCCTTTGCCTCCAGGATCTGCAGTGAATTTAAACAAATTGAACGTAGAATTGTTCATCAAAATGCTTTATGGAGCCTGGTGTTCTCTACAACCCGACCATGAAACAAACAAATCTAAGTCAGCCCTCCAGCCAGGAACGATGACAGGTCGCCGATCTCAAACATCTGAAGACCTCTTCTATCTTTTTCTCTTCCGAGGATAAGTACAAAGGATTTTCCTTATATTAGAGGGAAGATTGACTGATCGATTGGAATCAACTACAGGTCTGTCGATTTTAAATGGACCTAAGTCTTTCTTTGTTGCCAGTCGTTTGATCAGAGAGGTCAATGAATTTTTTAAAAATACGGGTCATAGAGGATAAGTCTAAACCAACGCGTGACGCTATGATATGGCTGAGAATTAAGGTGAATAGAACTAGGCTGTGTACGGCGGCCCACTTCGCAAGAAAGGAAATAAAATATCAGAAGAGTGGAGAAAGCGGACTTTTCCAGTTCAACCTTTATGCATGTACGATAGCTTGTTTGTCATTTATACTGCTCTATAAACAGAACTTTACAAATGTTACTCGCTGTCCCCTTCATAGAAATGGGAGGAAAGCAAAAAATTATCATAGCCAGTATCTGTGACAAGGAGGAAATCTTGTAAAACTTGTCGTTAATCGTGAAGAGATACAAAAGGTCATCAAAGATCGCGCGCTGCGTGGTTACGCATAATTTTAGCTTTTCACATAGCGCTAATTTATTACACCCAGGATTTTAGGGTGTACGAGGGGACACGTTGCCAGCCGATGACAGGGCCTTTTCCCACCCCATCCATTTTTTAAGGGAAAAGCCCTGGGGACAAGGTTTCAAAGCTGATTGATTTACGAAGATTCGAGCGACAATTATTTCTTGATGTCATTCTGATTTCGCAGTCACGGGAAAACAGACCGTGACTCAGGTCCGCTTGCCGACGCCATGCTACAATCTAAAAGATTTCAAGAACAGAAATTACCTATTGAACGGCCTCTCCTGTTGAAGATTGGTTGCATTTCATTAAAACACTTACATTTAAAAAGAACCTTGTTAGTTTCTCCCTCTTAACGAGCTCAAATCGACGCACAAAACTAAGGTGACGTACGCGTGTCAATTGACCCTGGGGTCAATTAGCAGTTGTTTTGTGCAAAATAACCTCAAAATAATGAATTTATTTTAGAAGCGTTCGCAAGAATACCAGACTAACTTTCATATAATGTTCAAGTACTATATCTCATTGGGTAGTAGCCGGGATTTGGGGCGATTTGGAGGATTCCCCCATATAGAAAATTCGATTTTGGTTTCAGCGGTAAATTGCAGTATTTATAAGCGTTATGAAAATTACGTCTAAAAATTGTGCTCGTTCGTCGATATTTTATTCTCTAAATCTAAAAAATGTGCCGTTTAGAAATTGTTAGATATCTGCTTTGTGAGTGGAAAATTGCCAATATATTCGCTCTTTTATAAAAGTGAGCTCAATTCTGTCACTGGGTTATATATTCCCGTGTTCGGCAGCTTATTATTTTAGGCCCGCAGACCGTTGAAATCGAAAATCTCAAATAATTCCCAAACTCGGCCGCATTTTGAAATTTAAACCTCAGCAGTGTTATAAACTCATTAAAACCTTATTACAGACGGAAAATGAGGGTAGGTTAGGTTTTGAGCTGTGGCCACTATTTGCCGATTTTGCTCGATTTTTCTGTGCATTCGCTCTTTAAGTACCAAAATTACTTCATAGGGCAATTGAGTTACTTTGGTAATAATTTGCCTCGAAGATCAAAGCAAATATATTTCATGAATTGTATATTGATTAGGGGTTCATCAGTTCTCGATCAAACGCACACACTCACACAGACAAGGGAGGTGCGAAGAGACGCGGAAACGCCGAAAGGAGACAGAGAGCAGTTCGCCGCTTCACTCGATTTGTGGATTACGAATAAATGTTTGACTCGAGGCATTCATTTAGTCTGGAATATGATCTGATTCAGCTTGATTTGTTCACCTTATTAAAAACCGTAGAATTGTAGCTAGCCCTACTCCACGTTCAGCCAGCGTTTTTTACCCTCTAGCGTTACGATAAAGAGTGACCCTATTTGGTGTATCTGGCTGTCTTTCAATTTTAGCCTTGCTTTAGTAGCAGTAATAAATAACCCGTCAAAGCGATTGCTCCTTCAAATTGGCGCCAAAAAAAGCGAGGCAGAGACGCACGCATGCGTTTTTGTTTAATTGATTTCTTTATGCCATTTTCCATAAATTAAATTCCTCATAATTATGTCATTCCGCAAGCCATACTACATGCCATTCCTCAAACTTATTCCGCCTTTTACCCTCACCGATTTGTGACTGACTTTTAGCATTCCATCGTGTTCTGATCTTGCGGTTTCAAAGAATATAGAGATTTAGCCAGGGCTAAAAGCGAAGCCTCCGTTTCTATACTTACGATAAAGCAACCAGATTTAAACTAATAGCATGAACTCTAAGCAAAAAAAAACCAAGCAAACAAACAAACAAAAAAAGAAAGAAAGAAGTAGCCTTCGGCATCAGTTCACCTTTGGAGGGAGTGGCTATATGATTAAGAAAAAATATTCCGCAAACAAACCTGAATTGGAAAAATTTTGAAATTGTAGTTCTCTTTAGTAGCAACAATTTACAGGTTATAATTTCTAGGGTTAGCATTTCTGTCTAAAGGGAAGACCTAAAAGGGAAATTAGGCCGACTTAGGGACTTTTGTGTTCCCGTAAGACCATTTTATATATATATATATATATATATATATAATGGGCTTACGGGAACACAAAAGTATATATATATATAACTTCACAGAAGTTCAGGTTTCACGAGTAATCATCGTTTAATTGCTACAGAACTGTTTCGTATGGTGCAAGGACCACACTCATCAGGCAATTTTGACGACTGAACTGTTGGAATTGGAAGGCTGGCAGCTAAATAAGAAAATTGAAATGGTTGCTATGGTAGATGCGTTACATTCAGGTTATATGAAACTGTTGAAAGGGTTGCTAGTTAACAAAAACATTATATAAGAGGGATTATCTGTCGTTATAAAAAATGGATATAAGCGGGTTTTAAGCTACGTTACTCTAAAGTTTACAAGTACTTATCGGTTTCTGTGGGGGCATGAACTTGCTAATTCGTTTCCTCTGTTGAGGCTACACAGTTCTTTTTTTACAGATGATTACGAACTTTTCATTCAGGCAAAGACTACCTTTTTTGCTAATGTTGCTGTAGGGTTTACATTTCTTAAGAATTTTCCATTTAATCTGAAACGGTTTCTTTTCGTTTTGTAAGTTCCAAACATATTTGGACAGTTCTGTTTCATTTCTTCTTCACGAGTGTCGATGTTTTGTGGTTCCTGTGATGTTCCTTAAAGTTTGTGGCTAGTCCAAAGTAGGCTTCAGTTGCTGTCTCAGTAGTAACTGTGGCTTGATAGATGACGTTAGTCTGAAGGCATTTTCCTTCTAATGGGCAATCAGACTTTTTTCTACAATTGCAGGTGTCGGGTTGCGGTGTTGGGGCATTTGCATTGGAAAGAACGTGTTTGTTGTGTGACAAACACGGTTCTTTCCAATGTGTAGCCTTTACATTTATACAACCTAACAATATCTGATAGAAAGTTTTACCATAAGGTGTATATTTTCTTTGAGGACAGACATACAGGAAAGCAAACGATAACCTTTTTGTCTGCTTATAACTATAATCCAATCTTTAACCTTCTCAAACTGTGCGGTTCGTGTTCAGATGTTGTACAGTGCATTTGCTAAGAAACGTGCAATAGACTTAAGGTAACTACACTACAAATTATAAACGTTAATAATACAGCAACTTACAACTTAAAAAAAATAAAGACGAACTCGGCTCGAAAAGCCGACGAGTCTGTCGTTAGAAGGGAGGAGAACTCGCTTTCATATCTTAGATGAGCTGCCTTTTTCAGCAAGAATATAAGCTTAAGGCCGTAAACAAACAACTGAAAACCAGCTTTATTCATGAGCGCTGTATTTAGGGCACGAGGTATGGAGAAAGAGCAGCACACTGCAAAATTCTTGAATGGCGAGTAATAAATAAGAAAATGAATAGCAATTCAATAGGATATGTACAAAAACGACACTCTAGTTTTAATTCAAGAATGGGGAGTAGCCCGTCTGAAGTGCTGCTAAAAATCTTTTTAAAGGTCGTGTTTTGAGTTAATGTTATGAATGAACAATTACAGACAAATAACTTAATTTCTTGAAAGTTTTTTATTCAAAAACCCATAAGAGTAGTGTTAAAATAACGGTTCTGGCGCCGGATCAAAAAATTGTAAAGAAATGTATGAAAAATCCTTCTAAAAAAATGGACGGATTCCTAAAAGGATCCGTCAATCCATAACATATAGTCTCCCTATAATAATAATAATAATAATAATAATAATAATAATAATAATAATAATAATAATAATAATAAAAGCATCCCGTCCGTTAATTCATGACATATAAATCATGTCTGGTGTACTCCATGACATATAGTTATTCATCACGTCATACATATCTTCTAAAATAGTATGTGTGTATTTCTGGCGCATAGATCCGGTGTGTGTTTATTCATGGGTCACTCATGTATGTTCAATCATGGTGTTTAACCATTAGTTACTCGTGTGTACAGTCATCCCATGACGTTTATAACTCAGTCAGAGTCTTAAGTTCACAAGCAAGTGCTAACCATGGGTCACAGGCATGCCCAGACTTGCTGAATGACGTGTTTCTATTTTTACACTGCAACTAAACTTTTTGAATGGTAGCGTGCACACACCAATGCACAGTACGGATCATTTGGCCAACCTTAACATGTGGTAAAACACTGCAACTAATCTTTTTTTAACATGCAGACTTTGACTGCAAGTTTCCCATACAAATCACTGTCATTTTGACAAATTTACATACAGAAAACTACTGCAAGTTAACTTTTTAAAATGACTTTCCTACTTGGATACTTGATACAATTGCTTCTTAGTAACTTTTCCACAAAATACGTTTTCCACCTCAAAGCACCCCTACAACAGTATTAGAGCCTATTGAGCAGACAATTCAAACAGCGACGTCCAAACGTAAAGTCGAGCTCGAGAAACCACTGGCTAAGAAACCAAAGACACAGTCAATTCAAACAGTAAACAAGCCAAAGGGATTAGTCAAACGTAAAGTGGATCTGCCAAAACCACCAGCTAAAAAACCCAGGAAAACCTTTAAAAAGCAGTCAAAGCAGGCTAAAGCAAAAGTGACAAAGCCACGCATCTATCAACCCAAGTTTAGTGTACCATCACCAAGAACTAGGAGGGGCTACTGTAGTGTTGAATTCTCCTACATTTATGTGAGATTGTGTCATCTCAACAAGCTCTTGAACCTCTGCGTGAGATTCTGTTATCGGTTCTTGCTTATCTGGTTTTGTTGCATTCACGCTCAGGGCTACGCCTGGTTCTTGCGTGGAAAGAGATAATACCGTCATTGATTCAATCAGCTCAGAGGGTTCAGTGGGTGTTTGGGTAGGTCTTGCAACCCCATTCCGCCAATGCCCATGCGCTGTCGTCGTGCACCCATCTTCGAGTATATACCGTTTATCATCAAACGGGGACAAGGACCTTTTGCTCTGCTTGATGGTAAACAGTTGATGATGTTGACTTCGGAAATTTACCATAGTGTGTTCGTAGTCTTGTCGTAGGAATAAGCAGTCCTTGAAATCTTGATGTCTCATTTCTTTCTTCAGAACTGATTTTTTGATCCCTTTCCCGGTCTTTTTTTCCTTGCCATTGTCGAGTTTGATAGAATACATCTTGGAGCGTAAACCCACAAATTCTGAGATGGGAAGGCTACCAGTTTCATCTTTGAGTTTCCCGATGACTTTCTTGTTCGTTGTGCTATACAGGGGGTGATCTTGTGGATAGTTTCTGTTATCGTACAAGTGTAGGTCCTGTTTCGTGTCTTGGTATAGGTCATCTGTCTTGATATGATAGGTCAAGCTGTCCGTATCAGTGAACAACAGCTTGGCTTTCTCTGGACCATACTTTTTCATGATGTGATTATAATGAAAGTCATACATGTGGAGCTTTGATAGCTCAAAAACAGTAAAGCCCGTGTAGATTGGCTTGTCTAGCTTTACAGAGGTGCGCTTTGCTTCTAATCCCACGAAGTACTCCTGCTTTTCTTCATCATTGACAAACACTTCACTCCGTTTGTAGGTGACTTTTGCTGAGTGTTTTTTGAACACAGCGGGCTCTGTGATCAATTGAATGTTCACTCGCTTTCTTACATCCTCCATGGTTTTGCCAAAGACCGAGTTGTTCATCAACTTAAAAAAGTCTTTCTCAAAGTCAGTCTTCGTAGCTGCTCTCAGTTTTGTGTTCAACTCAATATAGGGCTTCAACCAGGCTTGCTGCTTGAATTGATGCACTCGAGGAATTTTAGTGAGTTTCATGCCTAAGGAAAGGCACTGTTTCAAGTTCATGTGATGGATAGGGAACTTGACTTTATCCCAAAGGTTGGGAACCAACTTTTACACTTTCGCGGGTTTGTACCCCAATTCCGTCTTTAATTGCTGCTGATAAGGAGACAACATCTCATGCATGATTTCAATCTTCTCTGGAGCCAACGGATAGTCTGAGTGATGGTCGTGGAGTGCTGCGGGGTACTCCAAGTCCACTTCCAAAATGTAGCCAGCGTCATCAGCAATAGCCATCACATTCAAAGAAGACAGCCTACGTTCAGGTACTCTCTTGAACTCGCCTACAAGAAGTGCTTGCGTCATCGCCTCCCCATACAAATTATTCGAGTCTTCGTAAATGATATAAGTGGAGGGTTTTTCAGGGTCGTACTCATGCAGATCCTTATTGTTGGCTTCAGCATACCTGTTTTACTTTGGTGTACTTGAGCGCAGCGTCCCAGGCTAGACCAGGGACTGTGTAGTAATGCGCAGGATCTAAATCATAGTTCTTGAGCGCTACATGACGGAACTCAAAGACATCAAAGACATCAGCCAAGAGAAAGATATCGTGATACAAGTACAGATCGTGATAGTCCCCCATCGATTTACAGCCTGTAGTCTTCCAAACTCTTTGCGCGACCTCATACTTTTCTTCAGGGAGGTCGTCTCCAGATAGATCATTTTTGAAACCTCCTCTAGTTGGGAGACTTTTTTCCGCAAATTTACTGAAACTGTTCATGTAAGAGTAGGGGTAGACCCCTTTCTGGCAAAGCAACTTCATGTCGTCCGAGTTCTTAAAGGACCAGACTTTGGAGAAATGTTCCTTGAGGTGTGGGAACTCTATTAGATTACTGGTTAAGGTATCCAGACTGGCTCCAACGCCTAAGAATCGCAGTGAGTCGAGAAATCTCAAGTTTCTCAGCTGGAAACTCACATACTGCTCCATATTGTTCGGGACGACCCGAATGGATTTTTTCTCTGCAAAGCGATGGATCCCCTGCATGATGAGATGGCTATCATAACCTCGAAGATTATGAAAGAACACAGGGATGTGAGTACTGCATTTCTCGTTCAGGTTACACTGATTATGAGCGGCTCCACGGTACTCCCCCGTCGCATGGTTGTGATCACGTACTTTACGCCATTTTTCTTCATCTTCATAGAATGGCTTTTCACACATGTAGCAATGGGTTGCTACTTGGAAAGCCGCTTGTTGCTCTTCCGTAATATAGGCTTGTTCTCCAACTGAAAGGGAAGCAGTTCTTTTTCCTCCGCTTGGAGAGTTTCCATCAAGTGGTCTACCACTGTCTCACTGATATTTTCTAGAGACATGTCTGAGCTAGGTGAGGGGTGGTACAGCATACTGCGTGACTCTACCTCAGGGTGGTCAGAGATTAAGACCCAAGCCACAGTGCAGGGGACATGTTTTTGCACTTTCGTGGTCTTCCCTTCTTCTTGCTTACATTCTTTTAAAATGCATTCAAAATCAGCGTGAATTCTGAAGAGCGTTTCGTCTGTCTTGGCCCAGTTTTTAAAACTGATTTCCTCATCTACAACCATGACTGCTTGAATAGGGATGTGTTGACAAGTGTCCATATGCTTAGCCAGTAAACCAGGACGCACAAACCTCTGAAAACACCGTTCAGAGAAGTAGGTTTGATTCTTAACGGACTTGGTTCTAGAGAGAAGGCGATTGAGATTTTTCACTCAGGCATAGTGATACTGCTCCTTTTGCTCCCAGCACAACAAAGTAACGTGCTTCTCTAGTTGCTTGTCTGGCACTCTCAAAGGAAATAAACAGCTTTGTTTGACACCTTGTTTTGTTTTCTTTTCTTCAATCCCGATGACAGTGACAATGATCCCTGGATTTGTTTTTCAAATTTGGAAATCTGATACACCGTAACAGGAAAATTAATCCCTTCAAAATTCGGCTCCTACTTGTACTCTTGGTACTTGGTCACTCGTTGTGCATCTTTCGAAGCAGGATGAAGAGCAGCTAAGATGGACCATTTAAAGTATTCTTTATCTTGATTCTCAACATTGATCACAGCTTTTGTGTCATAGAGGGAGTTCTATGTAGGAGGTACCTCCAATAGGCTGGTAATCCACCATTTCCAGCGCTAATGCATGACTTTCTTCGAGGGTCCAACCTGATCCTGCTTGCGCGAACGCAGACATACGCTCCTCCAATACCTCCATAGGCATGTTTAGTTGTTCCCTTCACTGTTGTTGGTAGGTGCTGGTGATGGGATGTTGTATCCGGAAATACGGTGAGTATCTAAGTGGATGGTCTTTGTATTTGTCCGGCATTGACATGGTACAGTGGCTCATCAAATTCCACTTTGTAGCTTTCTTTTCCTTAAGGACTTTTTGGAGGTGTGCTTCCAACCTGGGGAGACTTTCCTTGAAGAAGACTTGCTGATCTACTAGCTGTGTTTTCGTTTTGGGTTCAAAGAAGGCATTCACTTTAGCACCTTTCATAGCAGATACTTCGTTATCAGCCCCATCGACTTTGTCTGGAAGTTTCATGTTCTTGGCTTCCTTCTCACTTTCTTCCTCCTCCAATTTTCGTTTCATTCCACCTCCTAGTTTGGAGAGATGGGTATGCTGTTGGTGGTGTTCCAAGGTTGATTTGCGAGAAAAACATTTTCCACAGTCAGTAAACGTACATTGGAATGGCTTAGGTTTGGGTTTCCCGCTGTGTTCTTGATGAAGGTGAAGGGCCATCTGATAGGCAAAAGGTTTTTGGCAATTTTCACAGCAAAAGTCCTGGGTTACCACTGGTGCTGGGTGTTTCTTCTTCAGATGTTTTTTCATGTCATCTTTTCGAGCAAAGGTAACTGGACAATGTGGACAGGTAACACGGTAATCTGATGTACCGCAGCGTTTGACGTGTCTATGAAAATTGGTTGAATGCTTGATGCGAACACCACATTTGGGACACTGCTTTGAAGCCCTAGTTGAATAAAGACGCAGAGACCTCTGTGAAGACTCGGAGATGTTATCAGGTCAAGACACTGAAACAGAATGGAGTCAGCATTAGGATCCGGCCTTTTATACTTTTACTTTAGAACCAGTTCAAAGCGGTTTAAAGCTGTTTGAGGTGAGCTAGTTTACGTCAATAAAACATATACGAACAATTCCCATTAATCGATAGCCGTAAAACAGAACAGTCTCCTAGCAAAAACCCATTCAGACCTAAAAATGTGTACAACCTTCTACATCAATTCTAAACAACCTACAATAAGAGCGGTTGATTGAAGCATGCATACTCACTTGACTCTGTTTTACTTTATGTCTCATTTACGCTTCTAAACTACATTACCACTTATAATTTTTTGATCCGGCGCCAGAACCCTTACCAAACAGTTTGCAAGTTCGTTCGCAAAACAAAGATAGAAACATACCGTTCATCCTATTCGTTTGACTTTCTTGTTCATTCATAAGAGCTTCTCAGTGAGTAAGGACATGCATCCAAATTGACTGACGCTTCAAGCAACGCGAAGCAGCTATATTCAGTGTAAGGTCAAGGTCAGCACGTAAACAGTATGACTAAATTTGGATTTAGGTGAAGGTCACGCAAGGTCACCACGTGATAAAAACTGGTTCAAACCGCAAGGCTGTTCAAGGTGACCCAAATTTGTTTTTGCTGACTCAGCGAATGCAAATTTTTGAAAGTTCATTAGCGTACGAAACCACTGACTGGAACGGTTTACTCATGGAGAGTTTTGCTAACGGAGTAGCTCCAGGGGTGTTGGGGCCTTATCACCGTTTTAACACTTATCTTGCATTGTTTTTCCACACTTAAGAAACTTAACTTGCAGTAAAAGTCTGCATTTTAAAAAGTTAACTTGCAGTATGTTTCTGTATGTAAAGTTAAGCGAAATGTTTCGTACTGTGCCGCTTGCACGCTACCATTTCAAAATGACAGTGATTTGTATGGGAAACTTGCAGTCAAAGTCTGCCTGTTAAAAAAGTTTAGTTGCAGTGTTTTACCACATGTTAAGGTTAGCGAAATGATCCGTACTGTGCATTGGTGTGTGCACGCTACCATTCAAAAATGACAAAGAAATGATCCGTACTGTGCATTGGTGTGTGCTCACTACCATTGAAAAATGAAAAAGAAATGTATAGGAAATTTGCAGTACATGTTAAAAAGTTTAGTTGCAGTGTTTCATACTGTGCATGGGGTTGAAGAACAAACACAAGCGGTGGTTTAGTTTTCCTAATAAAGTCATGATCTAAAAATAGAAACACGTCATTCATCAAGTCTGGGCATGCCTGTGAGCAGTGACGCATGGTTAGCACTTGCTTGTGAACTTAAGACTCTGACTGAGTTATAAATGTCATGGGATAACTGTACACACGAGTAACTAATGGTTCCCATGAATAAACACACACCGGATCTATGCACGCAAGAAATACACACATACCATTTTAGAAGATATGTATGAGATGTAATGGTAGGTGACTATAGGAGGCGACTATATGGAATGGTGACTATATGGGATGGTGGGTGACTATATGGTGTGATGAATGACTATATGGGATGGTGGGTCTAGAAAATAAAGAAAAGGCATGCTTTTATTATTATTATTATTATTATTATAGGGAGACTATATGTTATGGATTGACGGATCCTTTTAGGAATCCGTCCATTTTTTTAGAAGGATTTTCCATACATTTCTTTATAATTTTTTGATCCGGCGCCAGAACCCTTATTTTAACACTACTCATAAGTTAATCCTAATATATAGATTTGGCCACAGCTAAAAGCGAAGCTCCCATTGATAAATTTATGACTTAAATCAAACAATAATTTTGTACTCCACAAATCAGTTAACTTAAGGGGACATTCACGTGACTTTTTAGGGAAAAGCTAAGTGATTTTGAAGTGAAACAAATCTTGTATCGAGTTGATATAGCCTTATATGTACACCCAAAAAATAGTCTTCGGTCACGTTTAAGAGCAATAATGGCTCTAGATAAGGCGTGGAAAACAAATTCTTGGAAAACAAATCAGGCGGAATTTTTTGCGTTCGACAAGTTTAAAAATTCTTGCCAATAAATCTGGGAGCGTGCAGACCATTCTTTTATTTTTTTTTTTTGATACACCACATCTGAGGAGAAAGAGTACTATGAGGCGCTGTTTTTATCATACAGACCTCGTACAAAATGCATTATTTCACATTTTTTCAAGACAAATTGCATTCATTCTATTCTCAGGACCATCGAAACACGCGTGGACTTTTAATTAGCGAAACCGTTCAACAGTTCAAAAAATGTCCAAAATCACCTACACGGCTAGCCGGTTCTAACTTTTGACAAGCGCCAAATTTGCGAAGAAATTTTAAGAGAGTTACGCTTCAACGTGATAAAAAATTTATTGAGTCTATTTTTTATTAATGGTTTTATAACGATGTGTAATCTTAAAAAGCGTTTGATACGCTCGGCATTTTGAGTACTCCTGCAAGCGATGTTTACGAACGCCTCAAAACAAACGGCAAAGCGATGAAAATTACACTTTTGAGACTACCAACAATCAATAAAGGAATATAATTAGGTAGAACATTTACAGAGACAACAATTTTCATTCACGAAAACAAATGAGTATTTAAGTGTATCTAAGAATCCTCAAGTCTTTACTATCAAGCTTAAAGATTAAGTTTATGTTTTAAGCCGCCGCTTTCTCGGTGTTTGCTTTTTTCAAAGATGAACTCACGACAAGAAAATCCCTCAAAGCTTTCTTTCTACAGCCTAATTTATAACTAAATATTCTTCGGAAAGTTTTTTCTTTCTATTTACGGTGAATTAATATCGACTAAAGGCTTTTTAAAGTTCTGTAAGCTTTAGCTTATATCAAACCTCATACTAGGTCAG